AAGTCATGAGACTTCTCTTCCTGTCTCTCCAATCCCACCATCCCCCACACCCTGCCCAGCCCCCTCCATGTCCCTCTTTTGGCCCCTTCTTCCCCTCTTCAGTGTTCTCTCAGTATCTCCTGGCTTTTCTTATCCTCCATCTTCTAATTCTAAGCTGAGGTTTATATACAACTCTCTCCTGATTTCTCATTCCCCATCAGCCCTACAGTGACTCTGCTCTCTCTACCCCACTTCCCTCCTCTCTATCCTGTACTTTCTCCTCAGGAAAAGGGGTTCCCACACTTCAGACACTCACAAGAGAGACGGTGAGCCCAACGAAGAGAATCACAGCCAATACAACAGAAGCCAGTGCAATTAGGGCAACTGCCCAGGGTCTCAAGTGTCTGACCACGCTTCCCGTGGTCCCTGGAGAGGCAGTGCTCACACTGGTAACATTGGAGGTTGTTGTCATTGTGTTAGTCCCACTGGAGCTGGATGATGATGATGATGATGTATCCATCCCAGGTATAGTTGATCCAGAGGAGGTGGCTGTGGGTGACCCAGAGGAGGTGGTTGTGGTTGATGCAGAGGAGGTGGCTGTGGATGACCCAGAGGAGGTGGCTGTGGGTGACCCAGAGGAGATGGTTGTGGTTGGTGTAGAGGAGGTGGCTGTGGTGCTTTTTGTGGTTGTTGTTGTGTTACCATTGGTGGCTACAGCTGATTAAGAAAGAATGCTGGTTAGTTCCATTGGAAATTTATTTTGGTCCAGCAACTACTAGTATTAATCCTCATAGCAATAGTAGTAATAGCTGCCATTGATTAAGTGTTAGTTAAATGCCTCAAATCTTCACAATACCTCCATGAGATAGGAATTATTATTACCCACATTTTACAGATGGGGAAATTGAGGGTTAGAGAAAGGAAACAACTGGTTCCAGGAAGCCTTTAGTAGGTAGTGATACATGGATTTAAACCAAGGAATCTGACCCCTGAGCCATCCGTTAATCCATATGTTATTCCATATCCCAGGTGTGGGGAGGCAGTGACCTGGGTCACAGGGAAATTGTGTTATTACTTCTTTACCTATCCATGATACCATCTAGATACAGAACATAAGAGAGAAAGTTGAAGGGGTCATATGTGCCAATTAAGCTACTCTCCAAATGGCATTGTTTTCTTCTAGGGAGGAAAATCAATATGTGGGGGAAATAGTAATGCACTTTAAAGAAAAAAACTATCCAGTAATTCTCATACACAATAAAGTTTGGGAGCCACCAGTTTAATGAATGCCATATGGACTTAGCATATGGTCTAGCAAAAACCAACCAGGTATAACTTGAAGTAATAAGATGTGGGATTCATGGAAGGGGTTCAGCTTCCTTGATTGGTTAGTCGGAGTCAAGGTGAGATCTGGACTTCCTCTCTACCTCATGTACACTATTTTGTACCCTCTTCTGATTTTTCCATCTCAGTAACAACCAAGAGCTTGGCTTCCCAGATATCCATATCCCCTCACATCACCAATGATCCTATCTTCTAGAATATTGGTATTCAGCCCCTCACCCTCTGTATGTGTTCCTTTTTTGCTATTGTCTGGGATAACATAAGGAATGCAAATTTAGGTTCCCCAAAACCTTGTGTTAATTGCTTCCAGTTAGGCTTAGGGTAAAGGCAAGGGTCAAGAGAGAAACAAAGTGAGAAGTTGAGATGAAAAGCTGGTGAATGCAGAAAAAATTTATTGGTTCTGTAGTTCAGAAGCATAAAAAAAATAAGCCAAAACCCTAATCGTACAAAGTCTAGAAGGCATTAAAGCCATGTGGGTATGGAACAACATGGCTTATAAAATGTGTAACTGGAGGTCAAGGACTCTGGAACAGGGTTCCTGTCTACTATGGGCTGTCAGGCACTAACTTTAAGATCCCTCCCAACTCTAATGCATTTATATTTGGGATTGATTTATTATAGAGAGAATTGGTTAGATTTCTGGGCAGAAGAGTTGGTGCTGGGAACAAAACAGAGGGCAGAAGCTGTGTTGAATGGGACAAAGCAAAGCAAAAATAACAATTCTGACTTCTTCTCAAAGGAGAGCTAAAAGGATAGATGTACATCCCAGAAGTTGGTAACAAAATCACTCACCATTGATTAAAAGTAGAAGAAGGTGAAACAACCAGCAGGGAAGGAAAAATGCTTTTCTCTTCATCTTGAGGCAGTATAACTACGTAGGGCTGGAAGGGAGGGTGCTGAGTCCAGAAGTGATCAAGGCCTAGAAGGGAAAGAAGACAAAAGAGAGTCTTGAGAGCAGAGTCTCAAGGTGGAGAGCTAAAGGCTGGGGTGCCCTTTTGATCTCCACAGAATGGATCCTCAACCTCAAGAGAAGCACCAGGTCGGGGGACCTGGGGCCACAGGATGGGAAGGCTGGATGTTTGCTTCCTTAGGCTCCCTCCACAGAGTGTCACCTCTCTCTTCCTCTTTCAAAGAAGGCCTTTATAGCATCATCTGGGCTGGGCAAGGGCTGGCCATGGAGCCTGTTATTCTTGCAGCTGTGAGCAGTGATAGGACACCTGAGTTCAGAGAGGAAGGGACACAGGACAGGAAGTACATCAAGATGGAGAAAGGCTCAGTCCCAGTAGATGAGTCCTTGAGAAGAGCAGGAAGTTGGCAGTTCAAGGGGATCAAGGCTGTCAAATGATGGGGACCCACCCTCTGAGGCAGAGAGGGAGGTTAAAAACACCTTGTTTCCTGCACAAGAATTCCAAGTGTTTGGGATAGCTGGGGAAGCAGGGTTGTGAGAAGGAGGTCTCAATGAATGGGACTTAGGAAGCAGGACACTTAGAGTGAGGTTCCATGTGATTGGGAACTAGGAACAGTGCCTCTGGATAGTGCTGAGTATGCAGTAGGCACCAAAAGCACTTCTTACATGAGGGGGGACTAGAGACTCAGGGGTCAGGAAATAGACTCTGGGGTCTCTTAGGTATGGGAATTGGGGTCTTTGGCTCTTGAGGAGACAGGACCAGTAGTGAAGTGGTATTGGTACCTACCCATTTGAAAGAGCCTACTTTAAAATTTTCAGGATTTTTCATAATACAACCATCACTAAAAATTAAAATGAGATTACTTATAAAATACTATATCATATTTTAAAAAGCAATGTAAAAATGCCTCCAACTTATCATTTTTACCACATTCTGTACACCCATGAAGGCATGCACATCAATTGCAGCTGTCTGGTGGGGATGTATATTAAGCTCTTCCCAACTCCACATTTCATGGTTCATACTAGCCATGGCAGGGGCTTTTGTACAAAGATCAGATGTTAAACCTTCCCCAGCACACACAGAACAGGACCTAACAAGCATGATGACTGGAGAAGAATATCCTTGCTGTCCCCCCTCTTTGGTAGAGGTACTCTTCTTTCATTTTTATTTTTATTTTTTTCATTTCTATTTTTAATTTAATTAATTAATTTTCTTTTGAGGTACTGAGGATTGAACCCAGGGTCTCACACATGCTAGCTAGGCATGGGCTATGCCATTGAGCTACATCTCCAGCCCTAGTTTCATTTTTAAAAGAATTCATAGGAACTTTTCCATAGGAGAAGCTTCAGTTGGGTTCTTCTCATCAGTGTTATATGCCAAACAAGCTGAACCATAAGGATGGATGTTGATCTTGAGGTAGCCCTTGGGGGACTGACAATCTGCCACCTGAACTGAGTACTTCTCATATCTCTTGGTTGACTCCGGATGAGGCCAACAGAAATAGCATGGCTGAACAAAGATGGTGCTGGACAAGGTGGCACATGCCTGTAATCCAAGTGAATTGGGAGATTGAGGCAGGAGGTTTGTAAGTTTGAGGCCAGTCTCAGTAACTTAGTGAGGCCTGAAACAACTTAGCAAGACCATGTCTCAAAAAGTAGAATGGGCTAGGTATGTTGTAGCTCAGTGATAGAGCACCCTTAGGTTCAATCCTCAGTACTGAAAAAAAAAAGACTCATGGGAGTTTAAATTCTATAATATGTAAGATCAAAACACGCTGTTTCCATCTGAAGATATGAAAGAACCATGAATGAACAAGTTCTAGAAGTGGGAAGAAAATGGACCAAGGTAGAAAATAAGGTATTGGGTGGAGAGCCGGCAGGAGTCCATATTCTGCAATGCCCTGGGAAAGAGCTGGGGAGTCAATCAGCCATGTGTCTCTGATGGGAAGTTCTATGTGGGGAATGGATGAGGGTTGTGGCCAATAATCAGTTGATTCAGGGACCTCAGCCCCTGCTCTAAGAGTAAAAATCCAAATAACATTTTTTAAAAATTTAGTTATAGTTGGATACAATACCCTTATTTCACTTACTTATTTTTATGTGGTACTGAGGATCGAACCCAGGGCCTCATGCATGCAAGGCAGTCGCTCTACTGCTGATCCACAACCCCAGCCCAAATTCAAATAACATTTCTAAGTAAAATGACAAGTATTTTTCTCTCTAGAATCACCAGGAGTTAAATTACCTATTCCTGCTTGCTCACGTGTTAACTATTTACTTAGTGGGCATTATAGTCTGCACTTTGTAGGATTGTTATGGAGACTGAGAGATGGTGTATATAAAAGAGTCTAAGCCAGATGAGGTGTCACACGAGTAATCCCAGTGGCTCAGCAGGCTGAGGCAGGATGATTGCAAATTCAAAGCCAGCCTCAGCAATTTAGTGAGATCCTAAGTAACTTGGTGAGAATTTTTCTCTAAATAAAATTTAAAAAAGGGCTGTGGATGTGGCTCAGTGGTTAAGTGCCCCTGGATTTAATCCCTAGTATCAAAACAATCAAACAAACAAAAAGACAAAAAACAAACCTTCTAGCACAGTGGTTGGCAGATGAAAATCATTTGGAATGAAGTATACAGCAATACAGATTCAGAGTTTTAAAAAAGAAAAGAATTTTATCTGGATTATATATATATATTCCAGTTAACTTTTATTTCTTAGTGTTTAATAAGTTTCTCCTTAGTCACTGCGATGTCTGAGAGTATCCTCCAGAATTCATATACTAGAAACTTAATCTCCAATGGAACACTGTTGGGAGATGGGCCTAAAGAGAGGTATTTAGGTCCTGAGGGCTCTGCCATCATGAATGGATGTGTGCTATTACAAAAAGGGCTTGTAGGAGTGGGGTTTTCTTCTGGAAGGTAAGGACATATCGTTTTTTCTTTTATTGGGAGGAAGCAGTAAGAAGGCCATCACCAGAAACCTGGTGCTAGTGCCTCCAGAATGTAAAAAATAAATTTCTGTTCTCATCAATTACCTCATCTGTGGTATTCTGTTGTAAGAGCAGAAAATGTACTAAGACAGCCACACACATCAGGAGACGTGGAGGAAGGAAGAAGACTTTCAAAGAGTTAAACCCTGAAGGGCACCTGAATGACTAGGGTCAGGGAGAAGGAAAAGACACTGCCCTGAGTGCAGTCACTGGTCCACCCCAGCCCCCATGAAGGGCTCACCACCTCCTTGATCCTGATCTAGGGAGACAGCCCTGGGAATGTATATTTATTTGAGGTCATTTCCAGGCCCAGTGAGGATTTGGTCTTTCAAAACTCTCTGCTGAACCAGTTTTAGTGGTCAAACTCTTGAGAGGCTTTCCTTGGTTCTGTCCTTGACCTTAGCCATGACCTGTGGTCATTCCCTGGGAATATTTTGGTGTCCCATCTTGACTCACTCCCCTCATTGCTCTTTGTC